TCATATCCGGGACTGAAAATTCCGGCATTTGGGCAGGTGATGCCATCCTCGACACTCTCTATGCCACAGTCACTATCCCGGCTACACTTGCAGCAGGTGACTACTTGATCCGTCATGAGCTCATCGCTGTGCATCAGGCGAATAACCCGCAATGTGAGCCAGTTTTCCACATTGCCATGTCGATGCTCAAACTGATACTCTCCAGTCTATCCCGAGTGCGCTCAATTCACCGTGACAGGATCAGGCACAGCCTCTCCTCCCGCATCAGCGCTTGTTTCATTCCCAGGCGCCTACACTGGAACAGAACCCGGTATCGCTTTCAACCTTGACTCCCCTGAAGCCAAGCAAGCAACCACTTATCCTGTCCCTGGCCCTGCTGTTTGGGATGGAAGCGGTTCTGCGCCCGCGCCGTCTGCTGCACCCACTGCTGCACCCACTGCCACAGCCTCCCCCACTACCATGATGACCAGCGCATCTGCTACGCCCACAGTGCTGGCTGCGCCCATATGCGAAGTTGCGAAGTATGGGCAGTGTGGCGGGAAAACCTATAGTGGATGTACAGGCTGTGCGAGTGGGTCGACGTGCAAAGCCAACGGCGATTACTACAGTCAGTGTGTTTAGACTCGGATAGCTCGTGACGGTCACATCAAATAGTAGTTCATGCCTAAGCAGAAACACAGCAGACCTCGGGAATAAGTGATTTCGGTTTTGGCCAACATGACATCATTAGTGACGATTTAACCCGAAGGGGTATAGCAGTCACAGTCTTGGCAGGGGTTCGTCGCCCTTCCAGATTATGGTTCTCCAATCGTTCAACTCACATCATCCATGTTAAATCCGTTTTCAATACTTCAGAATTTGCTCGTTGATTCAGTCGGATGTCTAGCTACCCAGCGCCAAGACCTTCGCCAGGACATCATCGTCGCTTAATCCGTCTCCCTTGATAGTCGCATACGCTGGCGCAAGCACAGCCTTCTCGATCTCTGTGTATTTTCCGTCGCAGGCAAAGATGAGGTCTCCGTGACGAGACTTGTCTACCATCAAGTAGGCCGCTGCTCGGGCAACGACTGAAGTAGACTGGCAGTTGTGCGAAACCGCATCTAGCAAACCTTTCAAATCGGGCAAGACCTGAGTTGCCGTCCATGAAGGGGCGAGAGTGTTGACGCGAATAGGCAGACCGGCAGCCTTCACCAACAGCGCGAAACTCCTACCAAAGCCTAGAACACCCGCTTTGGCCGTCGCTGAGTCGTGCTGTTAGTGAGAGATTCAAACGTGATCGACGAACTTGTTACTCACAATAATCAACTGCTCGGACGGGATGCAAGCCGGTGCTGGACCCCATGATGACAATAGACCCCCCCTCGGCCTGGCCCTTCAGATAATGGGTAGCGAGTGTCACGGTCCTGACAACACTGTCCAGATTGATGTCCAAGGTGTCATCGTTTGGTTCCTTGGGGTCACCGTTCTCATCGACTTCGAGAGCCAAGTAATTTGCGCGTGGCCCAATTCCAGCATTCGCAAACACAAAGTCAACACGACCGTGCTTTTCTTTCGCGGCCTTGAATAGTTTCGTTAGATCGCTCCAGCGCCTGACGTCGATTTGGACGAAGTGACAGTCAGCCACAGACGCCGGTGGTGCCTGAATATCACCAGTCACAACTAGTGCGCCTAGAGAGAGCAGTAGCTCTGCTGTGGCGAGACCAATACCAGACGACCCACCTACGGCATTGTCAGTGTTCTGGAACCTGAAAGTTGATTGGGCCGAATCAAGGTACCTGTTATGACGGCAACTTTGCCCTGAAAGCCCGTCAGGTCAGAGTCTTGGATTTGGAACGATGTCATGGCGGAGCTAGGTATGGTGAGAGTAAACAGATGGAAGTTTCAGCAAAATACAGAAAGGAAGAGGATAATATGCAGACATAATCGGGGCCCCGGCGCATCAGCTCGAGCTCATGCAAGAGCGCACTGATTTGGAACAGTCATGGGCTGGCATTGTGAGGCTACCCGTGTTCTGGGCCCAGAAACATCATCTCAAACGAAATCTGAGGAGCTGCCGGAGATTTACAAGGAACACAGCGAGCTCGGGAGGGACTTCGTACGGGGCCCGTTTTTTTCATCCGCAGGGAAGGATTCCGCTCGTGGCAAGCCAACCGCGACCTCGAGGCTGCTCAATCAACATCGCAACACACTCGCGCGACTGCGCATCTATCAGTCAAGATACGAAGCGCGATGGTAATCGCCTGAACCAGGTGACCACCCAACTTTGCTGCCGTCTTGGGACGAACATTTTCTAATCAGGCAGTCTGAGCGTGGCGCCGGCCAGTGTTGGAACCGCGTCCATGGGCGGACCAGCTGTAAGACCCACTTAAGCTAGCAACGGCCCGACAGGGGAAGAAAATCACGACACCTGCCACCCATGTACCGGTCACTACGGGTCACCAACGCCTCGCGGGTACTTCGACGATTTAGATGGATAGCAAGTCTGGTACGCATAAGGCGTCTTTGATGCGGGTAGCTCCTCTTTACGACGCCGCAGCCCATAGTGGGACCATGCTCCATTGATGCTCGCTTCCACAAAGCAAGGTGTCGGAAAAAACGTAAACAATTCGGACCACGCGGCAGTCCTATACACTAAGCTATTCCCGAGGGCATCCTCCGCGGATAGTTGACACATTAGATCCGATCTAGACGAAGCCCTTTACGTCTAGCGCCCGCGACCTTAGGACGTAACACGAGGCCCTGTTTGCACGGCTCACGATCCACGACATGAGTCGACAGAAAATTGGGGTTCTCCTGTGGTACAGTGGTAGAGATGAAACGTCCAATATATGTCATCCGGCGAGCTGCCACCGGTCTCATGTTCGTCATCTGCTTGCTTCATTTCTCGGTCTCTGATACGTTTGTCAACATTGCGCAAGGAACATGACGACTGTCGAAGTGGCCAGAGATGGAGTGGCGTTGTTGTACTGCGCAATCATATTGCTCGTGTTGAGTTGGATCGTCTTCTCCATAAGAGTCGGGGTACGGATGTGGAGGAAAGCGTGGGGCATGGATGACTACTTCATGCTCGTCGGAACTGTAAGTACCCAGCACCACCAGCATGGGATAAGCCAACTGATAGTTCGCTGCAGATTCTCTTCTCAGTGACAGCTGCTCTTTGCATCGTCTGTTGTCACTATGGCTCTGGACAGTTCGCACGAGAGCTGCCCACGGTGACAATATCCAAAGGAACAAAGGTACATACTCCCTATCTACGAAATGCTATAGGCTCCATACTCACTGTGTTCAGCTCTTCTACATCGCAGAGTACTTCTACGCAGTCAGCGCCATGTTCGTCAAGATCAGTGTTGCAGTAGCGCTTCTGCGCATCGCTGTTGGTCGTCGCTTCTTCACGTGGGCTTTATGGGCGCTGATTGGTGCTACCATGGTTGCTGCTTTAGTCTTCTGCATAGGAATTGCAAACATCTGTGAGTTGACTTGTTCTACAAGTAGGAAATATCGTTGCTAACGTTTTGCCGGCCATCCGATCAACACGCTATGGGGTGAATCTAATGGCACCTGCAACCTTCAACTCAATACCAACGTCAGTCTGTTCTACTCGGCCATCGAGATCACTGCGGACTTTAGTCTCTCGATCATGCCGGCTATTCTGCTTTGGAATGTCCAGATGAAGGGAGCTGTGAAAGCTTCAGTTGCTGTCATGCTTGCGCTCGCTTCTTTGTGAGGCCTTGACGATCCCTCATGCTATGGTATCAAGAACTAATCCTGACTCAGTGCCTCATGTGCTACCATCGTCCGCCTCAAGTACCTCACACTCTACAGTGACCCTGGCGAGTTCATGTACAGTACGGGCAAAATCGGCTTCTGGTCCTTGACCGAAGTCGGCATTGGCCTCATCGCCGGTTCGCTACCTCCTCTTCGCCCTCTCCTATCCCTGCGCATTAGGGTATCCGCCGGCTCCAATACTCCTGCTGCATCTGGCGGACAAGCATACCAATCTGGAATAAACAATCGGCAGCCCACCTCGCGCTCCCGCGTGATAGCCATGGACACGTTCCAGACCTTAGGCGACAACGACGAGGCCGATAATAGTGATGGAGACTCTCAGAAGAATATCATAAAGGAGACCAAGTTTACAGTAACTTCGGTCATTGCTGGAGGTCCTCGAGACCCGGGGCCTATGGCTTGGGATCGTAAGGAGGGAAGCAACGTCTGAGACTGTTTGCTTATGATGAGAACTTAATGAAATGAGCGCGAGTCTTAGGTAGTGATAGCGAACGCGGTAGACTCATGATATACTCTGTACACTTATCAGAGCCGGCGTGGAAAAGTGCAGGATAGACGTGTGACGGCTGCGGAGAAGGTTCATATCTGAACCACGAGCTAGACCAGAGAGATCTCGGTGTCTTCCAAGCTCATAGGTTGTGTTGATCGTACGTTCTATATTCGAACGGGAACCGTAGACCTATGTAGTCCGCCCAGATAGTGCACCTCGGCGAAGTTGCTATGTGTGGTTGTGTATTTGCCGCTGGCTCGATAGAGGCATCAGTATTATCCTAGCAACAGGAAAGTTCTGCTCAAACAACAGCTGCAGGCCGATTACCAGACAATGTCTCAGGCGTGTGGGGCGTGTAGATAATTTGTCGTTGAGTAAGAAGTCTTGGCAGACGGTCTCTTGTACTACCTAAAGAAGTTAGTAGAAGCGAAGTGAGTGAGTTGTTGGCCGTCGCAAATGATCGTGAAGGTCATAAGAACGCGTGTAGGGCGTCTAGTTTCGGCGATAAGCGTGCTAGCTACGTCAGGCCGCCTCAACCCGAACCCCACCACTTTGACCTACACGGCAATCGAAAGCAGCAGCACAATCCCCACGATACATAATGAAGGCCGCCACGGTATCCAGACGCTGCTTGTCAGCTCCACGCAGCCTCGTACCCACTCTTCCGCGACGCGTCCCAACACCTCGACGACCGTTCTCTACTACACGACCAGCGTCCTCTGAGATGGATACAGCAGCATTCGGCGAGCAGCATATTGCAAAGGGCATTGGTCGCCTCACCAAACATGTCTTTGAAGATGGAAAGGGCACATTCATCACCACGGACAAGGGCGTCAAGCTGCTTGACATGACGGCCGGCATTGGTGTTGTGAACCTTGGTCACTGCCACCCCAAAGTCAGCGCTGCCGCAGCGGCACAATGCAACAAGATCACACACGCCCAAGTCAACATTGGCTTCAGCTCCGCCCAGATCGCTCTTCTCAAAGAGCTCATCCCGATACTTCCCCACGAATCGCTCGATACCGTCTTCTTCTGGAATTCAGGTGCAGAAGCAGTTGAAGCAGCCGTCAAACTGGCCCGTGCCGCAACAAAGAAGCCGAACATCATCGTTATGCAGGGCTCATACCACGGTCGTACAAACGCGACAGCCTCGATGACGAGATCTAAAACTATTTACGGCGAAGGTCATGGACCTCTGATGGGTGGCGTCTTTGCGTCAGCATTCCCATACTACAGCCAGTTCGGCATGTCTCCAGACACACCGAAGGAGCAGCTCGTGAGCCAGGCACTGCTTCAACTGAAGCTTACCCTGCAGCAGCAGACGTCTCCCGCAGATACCGCAGCTGTCATTCTGGAGCCCGTTCTTGGCGAGGGAGGCTACGTCCCGGCACCACCCGAGTTCCTTCACGGCGTCAGGCAGATTTGCGACGAGCACAACGTCCTTTTCATCGCTGACGAGGTCCAGTCTGGTATGGGCCGCACGGGACACATGTGGTTCGTGCAGGAGTCTGGCGTACGACCAGACATTCTCATCTTCGCAAAGGGCATTGCGAACGGATTCCCTCTATCCGGTATTGCGAGCAGTAAGAAGCTCATGGACCTCCAAAAACCAGGATCCATGGGTGGCACATATGCGGGTAATGCGGTCGCATGCGCCGCCGCGACAGCAACAGTCAAAGCATTCCACGAGGAGAAAATTCTTGACAACGTCGCCGCGCGCTCCAAGCAGATCTTCTCGTTCCTCCGCGATCTCAAAGCTTCTGGCACCAAGGCCGGTAACTTGATCGAAGATGTTCGCGGGTCGGGTCTCATGGTCGGTGTCCAGTTTGCAAACCCAGAACTGCAACGCGACTCATCGAATACTGCTGCACAACATGCTCAGAGCCAGCCACAAATTGCACCGAAGATTGTGCAGGAATGCGTCAAGCGAGACATGCTTCTCCTCAGCACTTCGGTGTTCGACGTGCTGAGATTCATCCCGCCACTTACGATCAGCGAGGAGGAGTTGAGCCAGGCTTGTAACATCTTTAAGGAGTCCCTGGAGGCTGTCGCGAAGGAAATGTAAATTTATTGGGCTTGTTGATATGATGCACGCCATGTTGGGAAGTTAAGATCGATTTTGTCTGGCACATATATACCCTTTTTCGCGCTTTGATGTACGGCCAGTCACAGAACTGTCACTCAGTTATTGATGCATCCTTTGCTTGAACGATGCGACGGAGCTGCGACCGGATAGAAGTTGGGCAGATCGATCCCGTAAGCCGCCTCGCGTTCGCTGTTCGGAAGGCCGAACACCAATCAGCGGCGTTCGTCTCAGCTGCTGCCAGAAGCGGGCGAACAACCCGCCGGCTCGCACGGTCGCGGTGCGCAACACCATGTGTACGAGCAATGCTCAGCAGGGCTGGATTTCGCATATGCCAACAAACATGGCAGAACGATTTGTCTATAAAAGATGTAAGAATTACTTCAATCTCAATCGAACGAAGTCGCAACCTTTTTCTTTTTCTCCTGATTATACTATATAATATCCGATTAGCCCTCAATGGCTCTCAGAGCAGTCCTCATCACAGGTGCGACTGGTAAACAAGGTGGTTCAGTCGTTGATGCCCTGCTCAAATCGGACGCACCATACGAAATCCTAGCAGTCACCCGGGACGCCCAGTCGTCATCCTCCAAGAAGCTCGAAAAGAAGTCGTCGAGGATCAAACTCGTCACGGGAAACCTCGATGCAGCCGACGAGATGTTCAAGGCAGCGAGAGAGTCCACTAAGATGCCCATTTGGGGAGTCTTCAGTGTTCAGGTGAGCATGTTTCCAGCGGTGATAGTCGACCTTCGCTAAATACTCGTACAGGCGCTCGGAAAGAATGAGGAGAAGCAAGGAAAGGACCTTGTAGATGCGTCTATCAAGAACGGTGTATCGCACTTCGTCTTCTCTTCGGCGGATCGAGGCGGTGCAAAATCAGACTCGGATCCGACAACCGTCCCCCATTTCATCACGAAGCATAACATCGAGCAACATCTCTTCTCCAAGTCCGGAGAAAGCAACATGACATATACCGTCTTACGACCTGTGGCATTTTACGAGAATCTGACTCCAGATTTCTTTGGGAAGGTGTTTACAACGAGTTGGGCAATCAAGCTGCCAAAGGAGAAACCTTTACAACTTATCAGTACTAGTGACATTGGGTTCTTCGCCGCCCAAGCGTTCCTCAAGCACGATACTTCGGTATACCAAAACAAGGGTATGTCGCTAGCAGGGGACACACTTTCGTTTGAACGATTCAAGGAGACTTTTGGAAAGAGCACGGGTGAAAAGCTTCCGATGACGTACCGGTCTGTCGCGGGGGCGCTGTGCTGGATGTCGAAAGAGCTTGGGTACATGTTCGATTGGTTTCGCGAGAAGGGGTTCGGTGCAGATATTGAGGAGTGTAAGAGGATGCATCCGGAGATGAAGGAGTTTGAGACTTGGCTCAAGACGGAGAGCTCGTGGAAGAAAGGCTAAAGAGCAATGGACGTAGACGTGGGATGGCAAACTTGACTTATCCAAACACATAATATGTTCCTAGTATGAATTGTAGTACATTTCGATCACTCGTAAACATCATCGAAACTCCTCCGATAGCCAGAGTAGGGAGCAACACATACTACTCGGTCGACCTTCGTTTCACTTCAAAGTCTGGACGCTTCTCGTCCAGCTAACCTCATTCCTTCCTCACCGTCAACAAGTACGCACCATCCTTCTCCTCCCCTGCCACCATTGCCGCCAATTGCCGCCTTGAAGTTAGCTTTCGCGTACTCTAGAACTTCGGCATCGAAACTTCCAGGCTGGAGCCATACAGCAGGAATTCCAGCCTCCTTCGCCTCTTTGAGCAATTGCTTCGTCACTGCAGGTGGCGTAATGACTGACAGGGAGTAGCTGGATGCTGGTGGGTCCTGAAGAGCGGTCGGGGAAGGCACGGTGGTGTGGGCACGGTTCAAGATGGTAACACTTGGGCTTCGCGGGTTCAAAGGCGTTGCGGGGAGGGAGTGCTGGAGATACCAAGCGAATACTGTGATATCGTGTTAAAGATGATAAAATCCAGGTAGCACTGGGAGAGGATATTCTAGCGTACTCTTATGTCCGTATTTGTGTGGGTCGGACGACGCGCCGGCGACAGCAAAGCGCGGGCTTGAGAAGAAAAGTTTCAGGGCAGCCTCCATTTCTGCGTCGCGCTTTTGCCCTCGCGTGGTCGGCATCTGAACGTTTTCTACGTTGGAGGGTATGCGGTTTACTTATGAAGAGTTGCATTGTACTGGTGAAGGGTACCAGGCTAGAGGGCGCCTTATCGATAACGTTCCATAGCCGAGGCACGCGTCACGTCATCTTCTGCACTTGCATCGGTGGCATCTTTGCTACGCGCGTCGTTTTGCTCCTGCGTTCATCAACATGCTCACATCACGAGATTACGTGGTGCTCTCTGACAATGCGCGTCGTTTTTGAGATTGCATGGTTCCCACATCTATCGAATTCTGATAAGAACACTAACATATTTCAGCGGCAAAGCGATGTGAAAGCTCCAAGGAGACGCGCGGGATCTCGACACTCATCAAAGACTCGTGGATTGAGTCATTCCTCTGCCACTCCACCTTTCTTTCCTCTCTTGGACCTGCTACATTGAGGCCCTCACTCCGCTCTTCGACGCTTCCTCCGCTTCTTTGCTCCTCCATACCTTGTTCTTCGTCCTGAAAATCCTCGGCTTGCTCTGCATCATTCACCATCTCGGCCGTTGCGGGAGCTCGGAGCACAGGGTGTTCTTTCTTGGATATATCGATCACTGCCAGAAGATCTCCCTTTCGCGTTCGCGGATAATCATCGCACGCGCCCTGCCACTGTCCGGCTCCGACAGCCTCGTGTGCAAGCCGCTGTAGCTGCAATGTATCGTTTGTGACCCACTCGATACTGGAAAATGGCTTCTTTCGCTGCAAACGCGCAGTGACAGATGGCAGACCGGCAGCGATAAGCATAATTAGGCCTCCGATGGAAAACATTAATATAAGGCCGAGCACGTTGAACGAAGTATAGGAATCACTTCGGATCTTCTGACTACCACAGAGCGCTCGTGCTTCCGGAGAGGTGGGCGCCGAAAAGAATGGCACAGCCTCTGAGACAACTGGACCGGTCGCTTGGTCGAGTATGGCCCGTTGTAAGTCGGCCATCGTGAATTTGAACCAATGCTCCAGCTCCAGCTCCCACTGATTGTCTGGTAAACCACCCTGCCCACTATCTGAGACATAATCACTCGCGAGAAGCGATCCGCCCTTGAGCTGTCTGACGAGTTCATGGAAGCCACCGGCCATGTCCCTGATGGCGCGTAGGGACCAAAGGAATCTCTCAGAATCTTTGGGCTGTGGAAAGAGTGTTGAGGAGGCTATTCTTGTGGCCTCAAATATACCATTCAGCGGCGTACAGTTTTCGACTTCTTCTAAGGATGGCCGGCAAAACTGGTATTGCTGAACACATGCTAGTGCTCTGATTGGCAGCTCGGTAGCGTAAGAAGTCTGGTTCCCAAACTTCTTACCGCGGTTGACCACCTTGTCCAGAGCTTCAAACCATAAGTCGGTGACGGGTTCGAGATACCTGATATCCTTCATCTGAAGGAAGTACACACCGAGGTCTGCGTCAGGAACTTCCAGGTCCTGGATTGGCCGCCAGGCATCGTTTGAAAAGACTTCGTCGTTGTTGATAACGTTGTAGCGTGTGACGGCACTTGTACGCATGTTTAGTTGTAGAAGTATCAGATCGACGAGAAGGACTTACGAAACCGAGTACTCGCTTCCTAAAGGTCCTCGATGAGTGTTCGCATCAGCAAACTGAAGAGTGCACTCAAGGTCGTTGCTTTCACAGAAACCTTCATTATAGTGTCCATACAGGAACTGAACACTCCACTGGGGTTGCGTTGAATTTCTGTATGTGTACCACTCGCCGCGTATTGGGGCACATTCGTTAACGGTTCGATAGAGAAATCTTGAGGAAGGTGGCGAATTGATACCTAGATCAGAGTGACTATTCAGGAACCCGGAATCCAAACGGAGGGCCGCTGTCGGAGAATGACATATCTTGTTTTTGCCCGGGAAGGGGCAGGAAATGCCAGTCGTGACCGTCACAGGGAGGGTATCTCGGACAAATTTGCGGCAGCTATCTGCTGACCCCGACTTCCTATAGCAAACTGACTCATAGTTGGCGCTTGCTCTGGTCCTACTGGCAATATACGATTGAGCTACGCGGTAGTTTTGTCCGGTGAACAGGGAACTGTTCAACGTAGCGCATCTGTCACCAACGAGAAGAACCTCGCCACCCCTCGTAGTGGCTACTCGCGAAGAGAATACTCCGGCTGTACTGAAAGCGCAAAAGGTCGCTAAGCTGAGGACTAGTGGTAATGACACCGATCTGAATAAAGCGGGCGGAACCACCACCTTCCGCCAGGCCCAAGACATTCTTGATAGTCTCCATAAAGCCGCTGTACTGGTCTCGGAGTTGCGAAGTATCGCTTGCTTTTGGTGGTATAATGCACTTTGTGGTATTGTTCGGCTCATGTTCTGATGGATGGCGAATGAGACGATGGTCCAGAAACAGGTTCCAGTAAACGTAGTGAACAGCGCAAGGAAAGCGATGAGCAGACCGCCATTTTGAAGAGTAGTCGTGAGTGTGAGGCCGGCTATCGAGCCATGAGACCAATTTGTCCAGACCCCAAGGTAAACTGACTCGTGTTCGGATGCCATGGTATCTAGGTGACGTTTTAGGGTGACGAATATTATCTTGGAGATGTACAATAGATATACAGGGTCTTGTTAACGATTGGAAGTAGGTTATTGGTAATAGTATACAATGTTTTTGTGGAAGGTATGTATCTAGCTATCGAAGCAGATTGTAAAGAGTTGTGCATCGCCAGAACACGATAAAGTACGCAATGCAGCTCATAACTCTGCTACCTGCTGTCTCTTCTATATTTAACGGACGAGATAGCGTCTGATAGAGCGGCTGCGCGAACATACTTGTCGTTAAGATGCTTCCACGGTGTAGAACGAACCATTGGAAAGGTAGAAGCGACTTGCAGCGAGGCGCAGTTTGTTGCGATGATAGCATTAGCCGTATTGGGTAGTAGGCCAGAGCTAAGATAATAGGTTTGTGTTCTTCGAAGTGGGGGCGGGGAACGCGGAGAGATAAGAGGACGAAGGCACAAGGCTGAGCAGCGAAAGTCTCACTGCTTTTCCCACACGAAGATGCAGACGTCAACTGTATGGGTAACATATTCCACATTACCTGCGATTTAATGCAGTGGTAAATCTTGGGAGGTTTCTTCACCGCACAATTACATCGAGTTTCAGCTCATGAGGGTCAAAGGCCTTGGACGCCGTGGCAATGGTGCCTGCGGATGGGTCAGCCTTCCCTGGATACACAGCATCATGCATATTATTATAAGCTATGCTGTAACACGAAGACGGAGGAGGAGTCGACACATGCACGAAAGGTCGATTTAAAATAGCCCCAGAGAATGAAAGGGTGCTCCCATGAAAACAATACTGGCATAGGGACCGTCTTCATTTGGGGGCTGAAAATTAGCAAACCATGGACTGATACCGAGAATAGTAGATATGCGAATGTTGTGCGACAGCCGACGGCCTATCATACCGCAGATAGCGCAGCTACCAAGGCTGCACACCATCCTTGTTGATAACTTTGCCGCTATCCTCGTCTCTGTTCCCTTCCACAACATCCTTGATGAACACGCCCCCAATACTTGGGTCGCCCGCACCCCATTTCTTCAACATTTCCGGCCCCATGCCTCCCAATCCCGTAGCCAGAAATCCGGGGCTGATGCCAAAGACTTTGACTCCATCCACGCTAAGACTTTGTGTCCAGTCTAGCATCATCATGTTTATCCCAGCCTTACTCGAGCGATAAGCTGTTTGGGCCATGGATGGTGGTTTGGGCCAACCCTTTGGCGGCGGTGCGTTCATGAGCTTGGAATTGAAGCTACTGGAAGAGGTTTCGAGGGAAGACAGACCAGAAGTCACAAAGAGAAGCCTAGGGTGTTTGGAGGCTATCAATAGGGGCGCGAAAACATGGGTCACTACTTGGGTGGAAGTGACGTTAAGGGAGTAGCTTCTGTCCCAAGCTGCGCGGATGCCTTTGGGGCTAGGGTCCTTGCGCATAATGGCATCAAAAGATCCGCCTTCGACACATCAGTCCATTGCACTGCAGAGGAAAAGGGCAACACATACCGGCATTATTGATCAGCGAGTCAATGCGACCATAACTGCTCTCGATGTTCTTGAAAGCGTTTTCGATCGACGCATCGTCCTCAATGTCGATCTGAACGGGGACGATATCTGATTTGGACTCTGAGACTTCACCTTTAAGCTTGGAGATGGCATCGTCGGCTTTTTCGAGAGAGCGGCTACCCATCAGGATGGTGTGTGGTTGTGGCGAAGCATAAAGAGCCTTTACGGTCTCGTAACCAATGCCAGTGTTGCCGCCCGTGATGAAGACGATCGAAGAGTCGGCCATTTTGGTTCCGATGTTGTGATGCTGGCTCGGGTACCGACACAAGTATATATATTCTTGGGAAAAGTGTCACCGTTGTTTCGTTGTGTCAGCTTTGTCCCCTCTTTATACGTAGGCAGCCGAAGAACCTCATGGGCTTCCTCGCCCGGAGTTAGGAAGGCGTCGCCCGGAGTTAAAGCCCCCCCCCCCGCATCGCGCACAATCACTCCACGCGTGAGCTTGATACCTGCATTGAGAAAAATATTGATACGCAAAACGTCGCTAGTAGATGTGATAAGTCGATCGCACGGTGAGGTGATGACGTTGCCGCCGACATGGATGTTGGACAGCTGGCAGTCCGCGATCCCGGAGTTAGCCCACTGTCCATAGCACTCCATTTGAGCGGCGCATTGAATCATCTATCCACTGACAAACCAGTATAGGAAACGGACTGTATTAAGAATACACTGAGGGTGATTGACTCGTTTCCTACATCACTGCCTGCGATTGAAACATCTCATGTTGGAAAGAGTTCCCGAATGACCATACCCTAAACGACAATCTACATCGCGCGCGCGTAGAAGGCACAAGGCCAGGAATCGAACACAAAAATTCAGCAGGCACAGCCTAAAAAATGTACGATAAGAGAGATGGCAGGAACTCAGCTGCTCACCTTCCGAGTGTCTAAACGGGCTCATCCACTTTGATGACTTCCGTCATTGCTGAAATTGCTGATAAAAACGACCAGGACGGCACAGTATGCGGCACTGGCCGCAAAAAGCTCGTGGCGCTTCGCTTTTGTGAGCAAGCTCATGGCGGCTGAAAACAGCAATGTGAATACAACCAGAATCCCAACGGCGTCGAAGGTGGAGTTACGATCACCCACCGACGTCAGCTTGTACATGGCGACAACTGGGAGTACCAGGAGGATGAAGATGATGAGTGTGATGATCAATCCGACGAGCTTCTCAATCCGAGACTGCGAATAGTAGTATAGACATTTATCATCTGTCTTCTCGCGGAGCTCCTTGGTCGCGAACAGTTTCTTGATGACAGGTTAGTCACGATGAGCAAAGGTTTCGTAAAGAGCGGATTTTACCTGAGTGAGAGGACCATGCATCTTACGTATGCACGTCTCAATCAGTCCGTCGAACCCGGACCACTCGCGGCCATGACGCAGCGAGACCAGGTCCTCACGACGCTTGATGAAATCTTCTTCAGGCTCATAGTTCAGCGGCTTAACGTTCCAGAACCAAGTCCGAAAGCTATGGTAGTCGCGATTTGATGGCCGCTGGAAGGTATTGAGATCACGAGCTTTGGCGAGTATGTCGTCTAAGAGAAAGTCAGATCGTCACATCAATGCGAAGTAGTTGGTGGAGAGATGACGTACCATAGGTGACAAGCTTGTGCTGTATGGTGCTTATGAGACCCACCCGTACACTTTGCGTCTCCTCCCTCCTGGCTTGCTGAAGGTCGTCTTTTCGAGACATCAGACGAGCTCCATCCCCATTCTCCAAGTCCATCTCATCGAGATCTGTCAGCTGCTCCTCCAAACTCCGAAGTTCATCTTGGAGTTGAAGTATGACGCGGGCATGCAAATAACTGAAGCCGCGATATATCGACCAGCTAGATTCACTTGATTGGAATGCGGCCTGGAGAGGGTACCCAAGCGAATAGCTTTTTACTTCGCATGATTAGTAAGACTAGATATCCGCCATCATTCGTGAAGACCTACGAGGTATAGTTTTAGTGCTGCGTATCTCCTTCTCCACCTCCGCTGGTGAAAGTTCGGATTCTTTTAAAGTCAGCGCAGTTAGGGACTCGATACTGTGGATGCTTTACCATGAAAATCTTCTGGTTTGGCGTCTTCAATCGGTATCGATATGTGCCCCGAGGATTGCGATTCGCTGCAAAGACTCGACTTTTCCAAACCGCTCCTACCTTGCGAACTCATCTTCGCTTTGCCAGTGTAGTTAAATACCAGTTGAACGTGTCATCACAAAACATTGATTAGAAGAAAGTTATAGCAGATTAACTGCGGCATTTTCCGCTTTAATAGGTATGTTTGCTACGTGTTGAAGGACAACAGAGGGCGCACAGCTTAGGGCTGAGGCAGCCAACCGGGATACCTGATTACTGTGGCGCATTCTAGGTTCTTTTAGGCAAAATTGAAGAGATCGAATCATATCTCATGTCGGCTTGAGCTTGTTCTCCGAAAACCAGTTTTCACCTTCACTGTACAGCAGGCCTTTCCTGTCCTTCAACTTGTACTGCCATCGACTCTGGTGATAACGACGCTCAGAAACGGTGAATGCATCGAATTTGACACGCGTCACCTCTGTTCCGTCGATCATCACACGTTTGCTCACCCTCATGTTGACCTTGTCGTCTTCCTTGAAGCCTGCCTTGCGCTGATGGAATGTGTCAGTGGCGCTCACTTTCAATTGAGCGAGCTCTGCGTACCCTATTGGGATCGAGATTAGTGATCGCCGCCGACTTGCTCTGCTCGCTCTCGGGAATATCGTTCTAAGCACAGGTGGAGACCACCGGTCAGTGTGAAGCGCTCTAGTGATGACGATAATGAGGCTTTACCTGATCTGCCATGACCGGTCAATTTTCTTGAACTCGATGGCTAGGCGTAATTGTTAGGTTCGGAATACAAGAGGTCAGGCTGAGCAGCTGTAATTCGGGCGCAGCCGGCCTCTATTTAGACTGAGGCTCCCAAGGCATACAATGAGGAAGGCTGTGCAATGACAAACTCTATTTGAGCGAACTCACCGTTCCCAATATGCCACCTTTAAGCCTCATATCACATGTTGTTCAGCTGAACGATTGTCCGCATGACAGTTTGGTGGGGTCGGTGCGTTGTGGTTGGAGGACATATTTTGTGGCACAAGGGAGCGCCCGCTCAGCTTTGGGACAGCCAATGGATGAGCAAGCATTCTGATAAGCAGTTCTCAGGGAAGCATGCGATGTTGGGGCCGGTAAACGCCAACGTAAGCTGTCCCTAGTTGTTCCAATTCGTGTTTGCACCGCCGCTGGAGGTCCTTCAGAAGGAATCACAGCGACGAACGTAACGATAGGATAACATAAGAAGGGCGCTTCCTGATGGGTAGCCCTACAATCAGTAGTCTGCTGTATCACCTGAGATATGGCTGCGCAACGTCAGTCAACTGCACGACCTGCGCATACCAAGACTACCGAGCCTTGCCAGAGCCCTAAGCCAATCAATCCTTCCCGGCAGAATTCTATCGTGGTACCAGTCACTGTTGACGATCTCACCTTCCTCGACCCGGGTAACGAAGAAGCCAAGAGGGAGCTGAACCGCGAGGCTGAGCGGCGCACATTGTTCCAAAATGTGTCGAATGGTGTACTTCAGATACCCAATGGTTATCGCAAGGTTGAAGTGCTGATAATACGTTGGGATGAGAGTGTCGACGAGTTCAAAGGCCACGAGCAAGAGGTGAGTCTGCGCATCATTCGAAGAAAATTGCCTAATTAAAGCGGCAGATTGGTCTCCTTGAAACGATTTTCACAACTGGCTTCGGGTTCGGATGTACCGTGAGAAGAATTCGGAACAGCCGGAATCCGCAGATCGACCTTAACCACCATATATTGACCCATGTGCACGAACACGACGGCGAAGACAATCTGCTGATTATGTACTACACGGGCCATGGTGTCCGTATCGAGGATGACAAGGGCTGCAGTCGACTGCAGTTATCTGCGTAGGTAGCCTGAGGAGTTCCAGCATTCGGTCATTAACACGTAGCAGGTCACGAAATTGGGATGAGAGCAGTGGCCATGCTTATGCTCCTACAGCATTCTGGGATGAAGCAGAAGCACCTCTCAAGTTACACGCAGCAGCTGATACACTAGCTATCTTGGATTGCTGCTCCGCGAGTACTGCTGCTGTGACCCATAAAGGCAGAAACGAAGAATTGCGAAACTATCAGTTGTTAGCGGCTTCTTCAGCAGACGAGTATACACGTGGGCTAGGACAAGAATCTTTTACTCATGCATTGTGTGAGTCGCTTCGCGAACTCTTATTCGAAGCAAAGGGTGGAACATTTCCAGTCATCAAACTGTGGGAAAGAATCAACACTAAGAGAACAACACAGGCCGCTCTGATGTGGGATCGCTTACAGCGATACAAACGTAATGTGGAGCTTGGACGACTCGATCCAAATCCAGAACGGGACGAGTCTTTTCGCAACGAAGAACCGGAAAAAGCCTCACTTGTTTTGCGCTTCTCGCTCAAAGAAGAGGCGCTCGGCAACTCTCAGGTTGAGATGCTTGCCCGACAATTGCCCGCAGTCTTCAAGGAGGCCGGGGTTCTTGTGCGGCGAATGGAGTACGTGGAGCTTGAGCGACGAGACGATGTAGCGAAGGCTTTCCGCGCCGAACCTGGAAGACCGTATGATCCAGCGAAAGCTTTCCGTAAGGTCGTTCACCAGGTACAGGAAAACATTTCCAGCGACAAGATCGGTCATGGCGAGCATGAGAAACAGTCTGCGACACTTAAGCCAAGGAAGCGCAAAAGCTCGTACTCAGACACGCTTCTGGCACCTAAGAGAAATGCGAGAGAGAGCTCGCTCACGTCAGAGGAAGCCACCGATTCAGGCTTGTGCACGCCGCCGAAGAGACATACAAAGCCGGGGTCTGAGGCTCATAAGTGCTGAGGGATGTTGAAGGTACTGTCGTTGCACAATTTCAATTGCCAGGGCTTGATCGAGCCTCAAAGGGCGTCTGAAAGGTGCGCAATCCTCACTTCGAAGAATGCATCTGAATGCGCAATAGATGGAAGTCTGGTACTCTAGATAATGGAATGTCAATGGTTGACGTGTGTACCTGGGCAGCGACTAAGAGGAAAGCGTGACCTCGTGACGGATGATCTGCCCGTGGACGCGCTTGGCTGAAACAGGACAGCTCCGCCGCTATCTCCGCATCATCGCGTTAACCCAGCCACCGTGCCAGCTGCCATAGACGTTATCACGGTTCTTGCTAGCATCTACACTCCAGCAAACATGAAGTCAACGACGATCTTACTACCTCTGTACACTGCAGCCCTTGCAGCTGCAGTTTCGCATCCCAAGGACCCTCAGGCGGTCCTGCAGGAGCCGCAGCTTACTATCATCGAGCCAGACGAATATCTTATCGAGCTGTCTCCGGGCGAGACAAGATGGGTTACCGAAGATGAGAAGTGGGAGCTGCGTAAGGTATGACATTCCAGCACCGACAGCAGAACACGTGGAGCCTACCGCTGACACGATGCAGCAAAACATCAACTTCTTCGACATCACGAACAATGAAGAGCTCGGCACGCTCGACCGCCGGTTCAAAGCCGAAAGCGTCAAGTTCCCCGAAAAGCCTGTACACAACGAGACCATCGTTCCCCTGCTCAAGAAGCTGGAGAAGAACAACATGCGCGAGCATCTCGAGACCTTCACCTCGTTCCACACGCGATATTATAAGTCCAAATACGGAGTCGAGAGCTCGGCATGGCTCCTTGGCCAGGTCAACAAGACTCTCGCGGATGCAGGCGCTGTCAAAGCCTCCGTGAAGGCGTTCCCTCACCCATGGGGCCAGTCCTCCATCATCGCCACCATCCCTGGCAAGAGCGACAAGACAATTGTCATCGGCGCTCACCAGGACAGCATCAATCTCTTCTTCCCAGCTCTCCTGGCCGCCCCAGGCGCCGACGACGACGGCAGCGGTACCGTAACTATCCTCGAAGCGCTGCGCGTACTCCTCAAGTCTGAAGAGATTCTCAAGGGCGAAGCAGACAACACAATTGAGTTCCACTGGTACTCTGCTGAGGAAGGAGGCCTCTTAGGATCGCAGGCCATCTTCCAGTCATACGAGAAGGAGGCTCGCAAGGTCAAGGCTATGCTTCAGCAGGACATGACCGGCTACGTCCAGAAGACGCTGGACGCGGGCGAGCCTGAGTCTGTTGGTGTCATTACTGACTTCGTTGACCCCGGTCTCACCGAGTTCATCAAAAAGATCATCACTGTCTACTGTGGCATTCCGTATGTTCTGACCAAGTGCGGTTACGCCTGCTCAGATCACGCCAGCGCGTCTAAAGCCGGCTACCCGTCAGCCTTCGTCATTGAGTCCGACTTCAAGTATAGCGACAACAAGATACACACAACCGAAGATAAGATTGAGTATCTGAGCTTCGACCATATGCTTCAGCACGCGCGTATGACGCTTGCTCTGGCGTATGAACTTGCTTTTGCCAAGTTTGACTAGCGGCGATGAAGTAAGATAAAGTTTACTTCCCGCCGTCGACATGATTGTTTCGTAGTTATTGCACGAACAGCCAGCGGTTTTTCAGTCATGGATCAACGTATTGTTAATGATCCTCCAAAACATCGAGCACTCCATATGGTGTATATGAATGCGTCTGTCGCTGCACATGTGATTCGGTGTAGGGCGTACGCGCTAACACAATGCCCTAGTGGTGACCTGTTTACCCTCATCCCGGAGCCGCGTCCGCATGGCTAGCTGAGATTCCCGAACGAACGTTGCTCTCCCACATTCTGATCTTTCTCGGTCTGGTCAAACACATCCCCAGTTCCTAGATACTATTCACACGTTGTCGTGGTCACTACTTCAGATGAACAAGATGAGTGCATGCAGGTGCAAGCAGAATCGCCAGAAGGAAGATGTATCGCGAACGTACCAACAATTACAAGAGTACGCTCTTCCCTTCACCCTTGGGAGTACATGAATTGATCTACAAATAGGGCTATGCAACAGACGAGTTCCATCAACAACAAGCTTCAAGGATTGAAAAAGGAAAGAATGCGGCTTCTGGTCGAGAAGCGTGCTCTATACGCGAAGTATGTGGAAGAATGCATTGTTTTCGCTCTCAAACGTACAACACACTAACGCTTTGTTCCAAGGACGTCGCGAGCCACTGTAAGATCTCACAGTCGAGCTTGGAATATGGCCTTCTGCGATGAGATGCAACGTCTCTTGCCACGTGAGATACGCGAAATGATCTATGGAGAGCTCTGGAGCGCGAATGGCGGCGCAATCGCTCCAGCGGACAAGTCCTTCAATTACCTGTGCGACCTTGTAAAGGAAGACTGCTATTGTAAATTCGGAACTTTGGAGGAATGTATGGGACACAAGGCAGCTCCACACTTCATCAAACAGTCCTACGTTGGACTTGAGACCGCGCGCGAGGCGCTGGAGATGTGGTACAAGATGGTACCTGGCGGATCGAATTACCGCCACCTCTTCGCAACGACGCTTTCTGAGGCAATCCGGCTACTCACTGCAGATGCTTTCAAAGTTGGTCTCAAGCCTACAGCGGTACTGAGAGGACTGATTGTTGAGGTCCCCATTAAGGACCTTGTTGCTAGCCCGGCCGAAGCGCAGGCCATGGTTGACCAACTACTTCGCATCGTTCATAAACGCGACTTCCACCTTTACATCCGACTGCCCCAGAGAAACATCCGACTCAACCTCTGGACCCCCATTTTTGAACTATTGCGACCCGTATTGACAGCTTTCAAGGAACACAGTCGGAACATACGCGTTCAATGGTTCTACCAACCAGACAGGACTTCGACTATAAAGTACGACCTCAACTCACATATCCGATATCCCAATGCGGAATGGAAGGAATATGTGATAGAAAGTTTTTTCAACCCGCGACAACAGTGCATCCAGGTCAGACACAGGGACTATCTTGTGGAAGACAATCCGGATTACGACCCTCAACATCACGAAGATACAACCAACAGAATGAACAACTGCTTCGGCAACGATCCAGAGACGGATTCAGAGGACGGATCTGACACTGGCTCAGATGATGGGTCTAATACTTGCCCCGACGAGGAAAGCCCGTATTGTAGTTCGGATGAGTCGTATGATTCAGATTGAGATGTAGAGACGCGGAATGAGAGCGCGATAGCGGGGCTTGGTTTGGTGCCTAGCCCTTTGATTTAATCTATTTTAGAGATAAGGAACCTTCGTTTCCCTAGGCCACGGGAAAGCCAGAAGCAAGGTACGGCTGGTTTTAGTCTCATTGTTACTGTAGGACTACTTTGGGACCGTATCCTGATATATGCCTCAACAAGCTTACGTTTGATGAGAAGCACCTGACTGCTGTCCGCCTTGAACATCATCCATCTCTTCACCGTGGCTTCCAGCATTCTCGTAGCTTCCATTATCATCACCCTCATCACTTTCCTCATCATCCTCTTCGTCCTCCTCGTCATCATCATCATAATGGTAGTAGGTGTGGCCACCATTCTCGTCATCCTCGTCGCTCGAATAATGTGTTGTCGCCCGTTGACCTCCCACGCGCGGAATGCAATCGGGGCACCGACAGACCCCTTCCTCATGTCTCAAAGTCCCAGTTTCCATGTACTCGCGCAGAAAATTATGGGGCGGAGGTCCGTCATAATTGTCAGCGTACATGATCGAATCCATAATTGATTCCTGGCGGTCGTAGATTTCTTCTTGAGTGAGATACACCTCACTGTCGGGATCGAAATCTGGGCGATTCTCATCCCGGTACAAACGGTGGATATCGGAAACATCGGGTTGCTGACGCATTTGGTTAGCTGGATGCAAAGAGAGATCGAAGGAGAACGAACTGCATCAAAAAAGGTCACGGCGTTCGCTTTCCATTCCTCCTCGGGCTGTGTCATAGCATCCAAAATGTCGTACGTTACCACACCGTCATGAATAGAATAACCTTCCTTGTAGACAAAGGTGGCTTTCACGATCGCCCCTTCGTCCTTCATCACCTTGACGGGTTCTCTCAACGCGTCAAATACCTCTTTCCAGAGATTAAGCCGAATATGTTTCTGGCTGACTTTAATTACCAGCTTGAAATTCCGTTTGTTTTGGATCTTGAAAAGAGGCTCGGTGATGAGTTCTCGACGATGGTCTGCACTGCCAATTTTTCCCCAACGCTCTACTCCCTGTTCCCAAGGCGCCTGTGGTGGAACAAATTCGTCCACTGTCATGTCGATCTCCAGATTTCTGATGAACTGGGCCGGCTCGCGTCCAGTGTTAAAAGCGTCCCTGCAGATGATTTCCTTCACACCCTTGGGATTGTACGCATGAAGTAGTCTATCGTGCTTGGTCGCTGCAACGTAGTACCATGACTCCACTAGTTCTGTCGCCATCTCCCGTCCGACCAGCTCCGGTCGCACAAAGAATGGGAGACATAAATGATATGGACAATTCAGGTCTTCGGGTTTGATGCACATTTGGCACGTGGCGTTAATCGTATTGCGCATGTAAACGAGGCTGTCTTCAATGGTATCTTCGTCCCAAACCTGGGCCCATACCAGATCCCGAACCTCGCGAGGGAAGTAAAACTTCATCCCCTCGTATTGAGCTTGTGCAAGAGCCAAGAGCATAGGGCCGCCTTCGCGGTGAAGAAGCCTAGTGGTAGAATTAGCGGTTGCGTACACGTGAAAAGGAGGCAGCCGCAAGTACATTGGTTCAATATCACAACGGTCTAAGTACCACGATGGATGTTTCCAGTACAAATGATGGAGTTGGGTGTTGTTGTGCGAAATCATGTCCTTGATAATGTCAGGCGTGCTTTCATCATTCAGATACCTACGACAAGAGTAAGCTTTTCTGTAAGTCGTTGCTATGTGAATATAATGCTTACTGGGAGATTTTGGTGGCGTGCACCTCGGGC